CAATAGTGACATTTTGTAAAAATGATAATGATTACACTTCAAAAGATTAAAAATGCCTTATATTTTTAAACATCTAACTTTTCTAAAATATCTTACATGTTTAAATAGAGGAAGTATTTTTAATTTTAAACAACTAGACTCTTATTTGTTTCCTGAATTACTTGCATTTAAAATAGAAACATCTCAAAATTATTTTTGTTTTATTTTTTATTTTTTTCAAGATATATTGCACTCGATTGTGAAAATTATAGTCAGTTTGATCAATTATTATTATAAGTCTTTATCATTAGCCACTAACTATTGTTATTATTAGTCAATTCTTTAGTTCTAAAATTATTTTTAGATTAATATAATTAAATAGATTTTTTTTTCATTTTGTTTTGAAAACAATTTTGAAAAATTTATTTACGAAATAGTTTTTTAAGAAACAATAAGTGAGAACAAAAATTATACAGGCTCATGATTACTTTCTTACATTCTTAATGAAACGCAAATTTTGAGAGTCTTATTTTCTTAATAAAAATTGAAGTTAGATTAGTTAATTTTATGTTTCAATTTTATCCATATTTATATATTATGGTTTGATTTCTTTATATATAAATTTATTATGATTATTATTGGGTCAAATGGCATTTTTCCCTCAACTATTTGATTAAAAACATTTGATATTTTAAACTTTCATATGATAGGTGCAATTTCTTCCTTCAATATTTGAAAATAATGTATTCAACATCTTGTAGTTAAAAAAGTTATTTTTAATCATTAGTTAGACTTGAAAAATTATAAAACATAACCTCAAAAATTAAAAAAAAGATTCATAAAATGGCATATAAATATCCTATAATTAATATAAATTAGGTATTCTAAATTATATATAAAAAACATGATAAGAAATGTACTAAATCATAGGTACAAGTGTAACTTTACTTGTACGTAATTAATTTTGTAACTGCAGGATAAGAACTTGGTTTTCTAATAAAGCTAGAGCCTTACTTATTTAATTGTCATAGTTAATTAATATTCTCAATGGTTAATTACATATTACATATTTTCTCTTAACCACAATATGGGATATTAATAAGTAATCACTTCATGATTCTTAAAAAGTTTAAATAAAGCCTTGGTATCTTAAAAATAATTTAATATTTTTAATTATATCCTTCTTAAATATTTTATATAAGTTCTTTAATAAAGAAAATTGAAATTTCAATGTATTATTTTAAAAAATAATAAATAAATTAGTAATGATATGGTTAAAAAATAATTATAAAAAATATATAATATTCCATATGTTATGCCAAATAAATTTTTTAGAAGACGTGCAGTACTATGATTGAGGGAGTAATGATTAAGAAGTTTTGGGGCCAAATAAAGCCCCTTAAAATCAATCAAAAAAGAAATATTTTTGCATCGTCGTGGAAAATCTTAACTTCATCGTACAATGAACCGCGTCTGAAAAGCAGAAAAAGTGGCAAATTGGAAAAAAAATGCGGAAAAAGTTCATTTGACTGAGTCAAAAAGAGTTAGCAAAAGATAAATTTTCATTATTTTGTTAAAATTTCTACGCCCTGTTGTGAAAAGATGTCAATAAAATTTCTTAAAAATATGTAAATAATAATTAAATTTTTTTCTGGTCAAAATATAATTAATTTTTTAAAAATATCATAATTTTTTTAAATTTTTGAGATATCTTTTTTATATTAATAATTTTAGATTAAATAACTATTATCCCTTGTTTAATATAGAAAAAAATAATGGGTACATGTAAACAATTATAATTTTTTATTTAATTTTTATAATTCACAAAGTAAAAATTATCATCGTTTAAACAAAAAATTATAATTAATTATTTTAAAATATAAATTTCAATGATAAAAAAATCACATGAAAAGTTGCAATTTTTTGTTGAATTCTTATGATACACAAAATGAAAGTTGTAATTGATTATTTTCAAAATTTAAATTTTAATAATAAAAAAATTTTACTTAAAAAGTTATAATTTTTTATTTAACTTTTATAATTTAAAATAAAAGTTGTGATTGTTCAAATAAAAGTTATAATTTTATTGGTAATAAAATAAAAGTTATAATTAAAATTAATTCTTTTTAGAACTTGTTTATTAATTATAAAAAAAATTTTGTGAACAAGTTATTCAATTTTTACGATTCACTGAATTGTTGTGATTGAGAAAAAAAAATACACCTGTTATTTTTTAAAACAAATAATAATTTAATTATTTAATCTAAAATTATTAATATCAAAAAGGTATATAAAAATTTTAAAAAATTATAATATTTTAAGAGATTGAATTATTATTTATATATTTTGATGGGCTTTTATTATTATTTTTTGAACTTCCTTTGTTCATTGCTAAAAGAAAATTTTTAATTAGTTTGAAATAAAAATAAAAATGAAGAGTTTTTTTTGTTTGGACATAAAGATTAAGTATTTTTAATTACTTTAAATTTTTTTGACCGGGTCAAAAAGGGCTTATGATTCATGAAGATTATTTTTTTCATATTTTCAGTTGGTACAAGAAAGTTTTGCTCAATTTAAACAAAACTGGAAACACAAAAGGGAAAAGGCTTGTACTCATTTGAATACAATAAGAAAATTGAAAAAGTTGTTCTGTTTTTAAAATTTGTTTTCTATTTTTGAAAATAAAAAATTTTAAAACTCATTTAAATAAGTGTTACAAATTTAATTGTTTCCTAAATTACTTTCATTTTTTGCTTTTAAAAAAAATAGAAACATTTTAAGGTTATTTTTTATTTTATTTTTCATGTTTTACAAGATACATTTTAAATTTTATTATTTAAAATTCACCAATCACTATCATAAACTACCATCATTACTCATTAGCCACTAATTATTGTCATTATTAGGCAAATTTTTATTTTAGATTGTTTTTAAATTAAGCTACTTAAATATACTTCTTTTTTTTTGTTTTGAAAACAACTTTCAAAAATTGGTTTACAAAATAATTTTTAAAAACAAAAAGTGAGAATAAAAGCTAAACAAGTCCTTGATTATTCTCTTACGTTCTTAATGAAAGAAAAATTTTGAAAAGCTCATTTTCTTAATATAATTGAAGTTAGATTAGTTAATTTTATGTTTCAATAGCACCCATATTTATTTATTATACTTTGGATTCTTAAATATAAATTTATTATGATTATTATTAAGTTAATGATTATTTTTACCCCTCTGCTATTCATTTAGGAGTATCTGATATTTTAAATTTTCATATGGTATAATTCCTCTTTCAAAATTTGGAAATAATACATTAAACACCTAGTCATTAAAAGAGTTAATTTTGATCATTAGTTGACTTAAAAATAACTTCAAAAATGAAAAAAAATCCATAAAATACACATAAATACCTTCTAAAAAATAGAAAAAATTAATTATGTAGTCTATGTAATTTTGTCTCAATTATAACTTAATTCCTAAATTTTGACTCATTGTAACTCAATTCTTATAGTTTTAACTCGGTTGTAACTCAATTCTTAAACTTTTCCTTTTACAGTTAGTCCCTATAGTTTTAACTACTTAAATATTGATTCTTATATATTAAAAATAAAATTGTAAAGATTAAAAATATTTTAAGCCTTTAATATTTATAATATTTATAAAGATTAAAAGGGTTTAATAATTTAAAAAATTAGTAGTAAATTTTAACATAATTATAATCTTATAATTTTTTTACTAATATTATAAATATTAAAATCTCAAAATTATAATTTTAATCTTTTTATTTTTTAAATATTATAAATAATAAAGGTTCAAAATATTTTTAATCTTTATAATTTTATTTTTGAAATATGGAGAGTCAAAGTTTAAAAACTGAGTTACAACTGAGCTAAAATTACAAAGACTGAGTTATAATGAATCAAAGTTTAGAAATTGAGTTACAACTAAATCAAAATTACAGAAATCAAATGATTAATTTTTTTAAAAACATAATATAAATTAAGTCTTCTAAATTGTGTGTGTGTGTAACAGCATAAGAAATGTACTAAATCATATGTACTAGTACAACTTTACTCTTACTCTTCTGTGATTAATTTTGTAATTTCATGATAAGACCTTGGTTTTTTAAGAAAGTTAGAGCCTCACTTATTCAATTGTCAAATATTCTCAATAGTTAATAATAGTTAATTACTATCACATACTTTCTCTTAATCACAATATAAGATATTAATAAGTAATTACTCAAGGTTCTCAAAAAAATTTAGGTAAAACCTTAAAAAAATTTACATGTTTAATCATATCCTTATTAAATACTCTATATAAGTGTTTTGATAATGGCAATTTAAATTCCAATATATCATTTTTTAAAAAATTAATAAATGAATTAGTAAGTATATAGTTAAAAAATAATTATAAAAAATATTTAATATCTTATATTTTAGATAAAATAATATTTTTAGCTCACGACATATATTATAATGGGAGGGAACAATAATTAAGAAGTTTTGCGGTAAAGCCCCTTAAAATCAAACAAAAAAGAAATATTTTTTTTTCTTATTTGGACGTGGAAAACAAATAAACAATCTTTGTACACACCCATTTTTGTTACATCTTCATGGAAAATCCTACTTCATAGTACAATAAACCGTGTCTGAAAACCAGAAAACAAACCAAAAAAAAAGTAAGGAAAAAAAAAACAGGAAAAAACACATTTTGACTGAGTCAAAAAGAATTGGAAAAAGATAAATTTTCATTTTTCTTTGAAATTGCCACTCACTTTCTTCTTTAATTAATTTATTTTCAAGACTTTCTAAAAGTTTTTATTACTTTAAACAAAAAAAACTCAAAAGAGAAAGGGCTGTTGACTTGTAGTCAAAAAGAGCTGGGGATCAAAGTTTTTCATTATTTCGTGGAAATTTTTTCTTATTTTAAACAAGAAATTTCCACCGACAGTTTTATCTTTCAATAAAAACAATGCCTCACCAGTCAAGGCTCATTGACTCATTTGTCTACTTCTGGAAATTTCCCTGTTAACTTCAATTTGAACAAAGGCTCAATAAACTCAGACTCATTTTTCTGTTGTGTCGATCTAATTCGCAGGATAAGAAAATTCGCCCAATCAACTTCAAGACTTCAACCTTTGATTTGATTTAGTCACTCCCACCAAGGTATTCTTCTGATCTTTCTCCCTCCTTCCCTAACAACTTAAACGCTTTTCTTTCTGTGTCTTTGTAATATCAACAACCTATAAAACATTGTTTCTTTTGTTTTTGGTGCCTCAGCAATGGCTATGTTTGCTTCTGCTTCTTCCCGAGTGAAATATGATGTTTTCATCAGCTTTCGAGGTTCAGACATCAGATTTGGTTTTCTCAGCCATTTGACAACGGCATTGCGTGGAAAGCAGATAGATGTCTATGTGGATGACAGGCTTGAGAGAGGGGATGAAATATCATTGGCACTTAAGGAAGCCATAGAAGGATCAATGATTGCATTGGTCATATTCTCAAAAGATTATGCTTCTTCAAAGTGGTGCTTGCAAGAGCTTGTCAAAATCATGGAATGTAAGGAAGTAAGTGGACAAATTGTGTTACCAGTTTTCTATTGTGTAGATCCTTCAGATGTCAGGCGTCAAAAACGAACTTATGCAGATGCATTTGCACATCTTGAACTGAAGTTCAAGGATAACTCAAACGAGTTGAAAAATTGGAGATCTGTCTTGAAGAAAACCGCAGACTTATCTGGTTATCATTCATCAAATTTTCAGTAAGTTTTAGTTATTCAATACATCATTTTATAGAGTTTCTAAAGCCCTTTCTTAGTTACCCCCAAAATGATTTAGAATATGGTAACATCAAATTATGTCTATGCATTTATTATTCTTATATAACGACTAGCTCATAATAATTTTCTTTTATTTTATTTTTAATATGCTAGAAACGAAGCACAGCTCATTGATGCAATAGTCCAAGATGTCCTAAAAAAACTGGAAGATAACAACCCGGTTGTACCACAATATCATCTAGTTGGATTTGATCAAAATCTCGCCATTGTTGAATCATTAATGAAAATTACGTCACAAGAAGTTCGAGTTCTTGGTATTTGGGGTATTGGTGGGATAGGCAAAACAACCCTGGCTCGAGCTACATTTGACAAATTCTCTTCTCAATTTGAAAGCTGTTGCTTCATAGAAAATGTGAGAGAGGAATCAACAAAGAGCAATGGTTTGTGTCATTTGCGTCAAACGCTTCTTTCTAAGCTATTAGACCAAGATGAAGATGTCCGCATAGATATGAATGGTGCAAGGAGAAGGCTGTCATGGAAAAAGGTCTTGATTGTGCTTGACGATGTGTCCGATTCAAAGCAATTAAAAGTTTTAGCTGGACAACAACTTTACTTGGGGCCTGGCAGTAGAGTAATTGTAACAAGTAGAGACAAGCATGTTTTTAGGAGTGGAGGGGTTCGTGACGAATATATACATGAAGTCAAAGAGTTGAATTTTGAAGAATCACTAAAACTTTTTTGTGTACATGCCTTCAATCAAACTCATCCCAATATTGAATATGAAGAGCTATCAAAAATGACAGTTGCCTATGCTAAAGGCATTCCTCTAGCTTTAGGAGTTTTGGGTTCCCATTTTCATTCGAGAAATAAAAGATATTGGGGAAGTGAGCTTGACAAAATCAAAACTTATCCCCATACAGGAATACAAAGTATATTGAAGGTTAGTTATGATGGATTAGATGTCATGGATAGGGAAATATTTTTAGACATTGCATTTTTTTTCATTGGAGAAGGCAAAAATCAGGTTACTCGAGCACTAGAGGCTTGTGGTTTCAGAGCAATTAGTGGAATTGAGAATCTCATAGATAAAGCTCTCATAAAAACAAATCATGATGGGAAAATTGTAGTGCATGATTTGTTTCAAGAAATGGGTAAGCAAATAGTTCGTGAGGAATATCCAAAACATCCTGAATTACGTAGCCGATTAAATGATGCGGATGAAATTTGTGAGGTATTGCAAAGGAACAGGGTAAGTGAAATATATATCATTTTTTATTTTTATCTTTTTGGAATAACTTTTTTAAATAATTAATATTATTTTTTTCAGGGAACTGATAAAATTGAAGGCATCATATTGGATTGGAATAGAATAAATCATTTACAATTGAGCCCCAATACCTTCACAAAGATGACAAATTTAAGAATTCTCAAAATTTGTCATCGTTGGTATTCATTCAAAGAGAAAAATAATTCAGAGCTTCCTTTTGATCTTGGCTCTTTTCCTAATAAATTAAGGTGTTTTCATTGGGATCTATATCCATTGGAGTTTTTGCCATTAGAAGGCTATTGTTTCGAGAACCTTGTTATGCTATGCATGCAACATAGCAATATTAAAAAGCTTTGGGATGGACTGCAGGTACTTATATATATACACTAATTGATGTGTGTGTGTGTGTGTTCAATTTAATTAAATTATTAGGCTTCTATGCTTAAAATTTTTTTTCCATTTCCATTGTCACAGGATCTTGTGAATTTAAAGATGTTAGATTTGAGGAGGTCCAGACAGTTGATGGAGTTGCCTGATTTCTCTAGGGCACATAATCTTGAAGAAGTATATCTGTCGGGATGTGAAAGTTTATGTAGTGTTCATCCATCTATTTTTTGTCTTCAATCTCTTGTTACATTGGATGTATCTCATTGCAAGAAAATAGAGAGTCTTGATCATGGCTCTTTTCCTAATAAATTAAGGTATTTTTCTTGGGAACAATATCCACTGGAGTCTTTGCCATTGGGCTTTTGTGCTAAGAACCTTGTCGAACTTTGTATCATGGATAGCAATATTAAAAAGCTTTGGGATGGAGTGCAGGTACTTATACATACACACTAATTAATATGTGTGTGTCTCTCTCTCTTCAATTTAATTAAATTGTTAGGCTTTTACGTGTCAAACTTTTCCGTTCATTGTCACAGGATCTTGTGAATCTAAAGACATTATGTTTGGATCGGTGTAAACAATTGGTGGAGCTGCCTAATTTCTCTATGGCACGTAATCTTGAAGGAGTCTATCTCGGGGGTTGTGAAAGTCTACATAGTGTTCATCCATCTATTTTATCTCTCCAATCTCTTGTTGAATTGGATGTCTCTAATTGCAGGGAATTAGAGAGCCTTGAAAGTGAGACTCATTTAGAATCTCTCTCTGACCTTCATGTTCATGATTGTCAAAGCCTCAAGAAATTCTCTTTATCATCAAAGAAATTGGGAAGTTTGTGTATCGATGGGACTGGAGTTGAAATATTGCATTTTCTACCAATGGGAGGTTTCACGGAACTCAGAGATCTTGAGATTTTTAGTGAAAGATTAAGGAGCCTTCCGATAAGTGAGCTATGTGGCTTGACAAATCTTGAGGCATTTGAAATTTGGGATTTCCAGCAGGTGATTCACACAACAGAGCTGCGCTCTCTTTTTGATGCTTGGCGTAATTTAAAAATACTAAGTTTGGAAAGACGCAATTACTTGCTGGAAATCCCTGACAATATCAAGGCCTTAACAAGCTTGAAACACATTTCCTTGAGAGACTGTGAGATGCTTAAGTCTATACTTGGACTTCCTCCCTTCCTTGAAGATTTAGATGCTGAAGGATGCACTTCATTGGAGATCGTATTTTCTGACTCTCTAGTTCAAAATCCATGTCGATTTGATTTCCAGGAGTGTATAAAGTTGGATGAGTGTTCTCTTCTCTTCATTGAGAAACTAACTCATTTCTCTTTCACTTCAGCCAAGGCTAAGTGGCTTCCTAATGTTGGGGCTTGTTACGCGGGAAGCAGAGTTCCAAAATGGATGGAATATAAACATCAGACAGAGACTTCCAATGCTATCGAATTCATTTGCAATCTCGAACGATCACCCACCATCTTGGGTTGCTGCGTTGTTCCTCCTCATCTCTGCTTACCTTCCGTGCAAAGTGTCTACTGTGATTTCTCTTATGATGATAGCAACAAGTCCTGCAATTCATTTCCTTTATATTCGGGGTGTAAAATGGAGCCGTCTCATGTTTACATATGGAACCTGGAAGTGGGAAGGGAATTGAGAAGGGCTTCGTTTGGCACTGGAACAGGTAATGTTGCCAAGATTTCATGAGAATTCTATGCGGAATATTGCAATGATGTTTATCCAAATAATAGAGAGGTAGCGAAAGTTCCAATGAAAGCATGTGGAGTGCACGTGACATATAACTCACAGTCGGACTCGGATGAAGAACGACTCCCTCCAACAAATCTCATGATGACTTCACTTGTCACCCCTTGCAACTGAAATTTATTCGCAAGAGCAAACGAAAGCATCACCACCCACACATACAGTTTCTTTGATATGTCTTTGCAGGTGTCTCTCCCTTCTTTGCTTTTTATTTATAAGCTCGCCTTCACTACTATTATCATAAAATCACTCTTGATTAAAAAAAAAAGTAATCAAATATTTCTTCTATGCTTAGATATACTAAATTAAAGTGGTGATTTATTTTACAATATTGTATTTATTATTTCAATATTTACACCTTATTGAAGAAATAAGTATGCCTTTTTCCAAATTTCGTCCAATTTTTTTTAACAATTCTTTAATGTGTGTGTGTGTGTGTGTTTTGTTTATTATTTCTCTACATAGTTTTATACAGTATAGTACTCTAATGTGTATAATAACTATTGTAGATTATACCGACAACACATACAAAACAACACACACACATATATTTGTTGGAGATAGATGTAATTTTTTTTAAGAGTGTACTTTTGCTATTTACTTTGTTTTAACTTTCTATTTATTGATTGATCCTGTATTTACATTTTATTTGTGAGGATAATATTTTTTGAATCACCAAATTGTTCTATATAATTTTCATATACTTCTGATAACAAATTCTAACGTAATTTGCGTGATTATAAAATAGGTCGTTTTTGGAATAAAATAAATTGTTGTTTATTTATAGTATGTGAAACTTTTGTGAAATTGATGAAGCTATTTACATGCGAAAACTTTTTACAACTTTTGAAGATTACCTTTAATCAAATTATATCTGTTAGTTAAACCAAAAGTGAAATAAACAAAGGTATTTTTTAAGCTTATTCAAATGCTGCATTTAATTTCGTAAAACTCTAGTATATTATCAACATATAGTAAGTGCATTTTCAGGCCAAAAAAAAAAAACAAGTTATAGGTAAGATCTCGTTTATAGGATTGGAGGAAGTAAAAGAGCAAAACACAAAGCTTGTTAATAGTATTTCAATTTATGTAAGATATGGAGTCTTAATGGATCACCCTAGGCTGACCTTAAGCTAATTTGTCCATTATCATTTCTTGTTTGCAGTGTCTCCTTTATGACTAATAAATAAATCTTCATCATTTTTTACGGTATAATTTTGTTGCCTTGCTTTGTTTTGACAGGTGTGTTAGTCTGAGCATGACTTATAATTGAGAGTTTGTAAATGACTGCTGAAATTTTATGATTTTTGTCAGTTAACATATTTTGAATATTTTATTGTGACCTGACTGAGATTTTGTCCTTGTGCTAAGTTGTCTTGCTCTTTCCCCTAACATGTGAAAATAAATTTGTGCTCATTCTATTCAATGTGCCTAAAATTTTAATTATTCTTTTGCATAGTGTAAAGTGGATTAAAATTCTGTTGGGCTAAAACTGCCCTTTTTAAACACTAGAATTGTGTTTTAATTTTGGGATAATGAAATTTTTAATATTTCAAATTTGCTTTATTATCAATTTAGTCTTTCAAGTTTAATTTTTATGAATTTGGTTCATTAAGTTGTTTAATTATTGATTTAGTCTTTATTGTATAAATAGGAGGTAACAATGTAAAACTTTGCTGACATAAATAACAAAATTAAAAAGATGAAATTATTTTGGTAGAAAAAAAAGACTTAGAAATTTAAAGAAAAAAAGAACAAAATGTTTAATGAGGTACTAGATTAATAAAAATTAAACTAATTTAAAAGTTAACTTATTTTCATTTACTAACGTATACATATCAAGTTATTAAAATACTTCATATATTAATTTGGGATGAGAAATATCAAGAAGGAAAGTGTAATATATTGTTCACAAAACCCAAGGCTAATTATTCCTTATATAGAGGAGATACTGAAAACCCTAGAGCTTTATACAGAGGCCATGTGTACAATGAATAATGAACAATGACAAATGAATACCATCAAATGGATTCTCAGTTCTAGTGGGCTCAACCCTTTGGTCCATGTGTTATTATCTTGGGCTTAAGTTTGTTGGGCTGTGCCTTGTTCATAGACTTCATTAATGTTTTGACAGAATAAATTTGTGTTTTTAAAACGTAAGTAACTAATAAAATGATAATTTAAAAAATATAAAAAAATAAATAAATCAAAATTAGACTTAAAAAATTAAATTAATAATAGAGACAAATTTGACAGATTAAAAATTTTATTATCTCTTTAATTTTTGTTCTTCAGCTTGATTATCATGAAGAAAGTTTCAAAATATTTATTTTGCTCCTTATCCTTACCTTGATATAATATTTAATGCCTCTCTTTTTTCGCAGTCCAGTAATGCATCGCTGTCAACTTCCTTGAATCCTTGTTTGTTGATCAATTTGTGTGGCTTGGCAAATCTTGTGCATTTCTTCAATTGTTTTTTGGCCCCCTGACATGGATATATTTGGTTTGTGCAATGCAGTTGCTTCTTGTCCCAAGAGCAGGTCCAAAATGCAATGGTGAACAGTCTTTTTGCTAATGGTCGTTGAGGTGTCTTTGACATGTGAATCATATGTAACAAGATTAATATTTTTGTGACACTTTCATATTTAATTTTCTTATAGCAGAAACATCATTATCTCATGTCCTCAACTAGCCGTTGCATGTGAGTATTGTATAGTCTTTTTATATGGAACAAACCAGTGATTCATTTTGATTTATATATTGTCAAATCCTAATTTTTAAAACTTTCCCAATACAATTGGGAGCGATATGGTTCAGGAGAAATGAAAATTGTAGCCCATAGATTAAAATTCACAAATTATTCACCGGATTACTGCTTATTTGGTAAGTTTAGAATTTTTGCTGAACTTTAAAAATTCATAACTAAATCTAGAAAATTCATATCTTGAAAGCTATTAAAGTCATTTAAGTGTTAAAATACATTTTAAACCCTTTTTAGTTTCAAATAGTACATTTTATTCATTTTTTTAAATTTGCTCTATTTTTTTGACAGAATCTATGCCATAATTTGAAAAATTCATAACTAAAGTTGTACATGTCCAAATGATCTGATTTAGGACTTTTTAGAAATCTATATATGTCAAGTTTTATCATAAAAATTCTCATGAGCATTGAATATGGGTTATTATACATTAAATAATAAAACAATGACCCTTCTATAAAAAGAGTTTAAGCTAAACAATCACAATCATACATATTAAAATCATGATTTCAAGGCTAGTTTAGGACTCTATATTAGCCATCATACATCATCACATATCACTTATGCATACCAAAGCCTTATCATAAATTTACATAGTTTATCGACTTATTTATACATTTCTCATTTTTATAAAATTAATGCATAGGAAAAATTATTTTTCCTATTCTACTTACATTTGCTTCTTGTTCTAGCTTTTCCTTTAGAGGCTTATAATCTAACATGGTTAGTCATTGGGGGTGAGATTCGAGAGAACTTTAGTAGTAAATAATATCATTCAAGCATACAAGGTAAAAGTTTCATACATAACATATACTTGCATTATATGACTTCATAACTAACATATTGACATGTTACATGCTCATACATCATACATGGACCATGAAACACTTAAAAACAAGGTTTCAAACATTCATTCATAATTCATAGAATCAAAGAAACTAATCATACATATCATCATGCAAGCATAAATACCGAGCATGTAATGAAGGGTAAGTTTACTACCTTTTAGATTTAGTATTTCTTCTTTATTTTCCTTGCTTCCATTTGATCCCCCATGATTAAACCTCCAATTTTTTTCCATGACACTCATTGACCCTAAATATTTTCAATAGAATATTTATGACAATTGTTAGAGCTAATAATTACATTGTTAATAAATGACAACTTACTCTTATTTAATTATTGCTTTCATTATCTTAATTTTTTCACTTTATTTTCCTTTGACATAAAATTCTTGTACCAATATTTTTCCACTCAATTTTTCATAAAGAACTCATTTTTAAACTCAAATTTGACCATTCTAACTCCTTCCTTTTGAACCATCCTTGATAGTAACTATGGGTATTTGAGATCTTAAATTATGGTTTCTTCCCAACTATTTTCATGCTTTATATGTATGTCTCTCAAGGCTAGGTTCTAAATCATATTTCATAAACTTAAATGCTTAAGTAATAATGCTCAAATCTTTAGAAAATTGGGTAGCATTTCCCCTTGAAAATTAGCCATCCAAAAATTACATCAAGCTTAAAATCAAGCTACCATTCATTAATAATCATCTCTATAATCATTTCTAAGCCATTTTCTATCATTTAATCATCAAAATATCAAGCCTTATTATCTTTAGAAAAACAGGGCAGCATCTCATCATCATGAAAACTCAAGAAAAAAATTATGAAAATAGCTCAAAAAGAAACTCTTCCATACCTCTTCTCAATGCTCTAATTTATTCTTGCTTTCTTCATTACTTCCTCCATCTATGCCACTCCAAACTCATCCTCTTAAAAACTAAAACCATAGAATGTTCCTCTTGATAAGAGGAACAACTTTTTGTGAAGAGACTTTGATATACAATGTGGTTTGATGATAAGTTTGGCTGATTTTCCTTTTCTCTCTCTAAACCTCTCATGCGAATCCATGAAAGTAGCTTGCGAATTCTCTCTCTTTTCTCTCCTTGGTCTCACCGAAGTGATGAAATGAGGAAGAAGAAATGGGT